ATGTCAGCATGCTTAGGACTCCGGCAGAAAAAAAAAAAACATTCTGTCCAACAGGTGGCTCCTGAGCGGACCGGCAAGCAGCGCTGCTGCCATCGCACCCTGCGCCGAAAAATGGAACTGGGTCTGGAAACATTTTGGCCCTTGCGATCTTGGTGCTTGCTGATGCTGATGCTGGTGGAAACAAGACTCAAAGGAGCCGGAAAGCATCAAACCATCGCAACGGTGACGATGATTGTCGCGATGATGAACACAGAGGGCACCAACACAGCGGGCTTGGGTATGGATAAGGCACTTGAACAGCGGTTCTCACCCCGAAGCCTGTAAGTTTGACATGCGGCCTCCAGAAGCGACACTGCAAACAGGAGGACGACCGCCCAAGCCACGGACACCTCGGTGTGAGCTACCAGCTGCTGCCGACAGCTCGGCCCGCGCCCGACATCATCGCCGACCCCTCTGAACCGGGATTTTCCTGTTGAAGCAAGATAGTCTGAAGCCAAGTTTCCTCGGAAGACTCCGAGCCCATCAGTCCAACCAGCGTTGTCTGCTTGGGGATACCCCCATAGAGCTCAAAGGTGGCAAGGCCTGGAACCCAAATCTCACTCGAGCAAGTCGACTTCAAAGCTTCCGAAAACCGAACAGCAAGCCGAGATTGACCTAAACAAGGTTCAAGCATTTACTAGACTGTGAATGCCTTTTTGACTCGAATGGCCATGCACGAGGTTGTTGGGATGCAGGGGCAAAGAGACCCCACTCGACGCGGAGGTCTTCCCACATCTCTCCTTCTGCACCAGAGTGGTTCGTAACAGCCCACCTGTGTACGTCTCTCGCGTTTGGGATTAACCAGATTAACCACCTCTTCACAACTTTCCCATCCAAGAGGTGTGCAATTCCTGTGGCCGACACAGAAGCGCACTTCCACTTGCGAATCATAGCCTCCTCCTAGTACATGGCATGGGCAGGAGAGAACGACTACGAAATTGAACAAAGCAATTCCTCGAGAGTCCTCTCACAGCGCACGGTCGAAGAAGAGGACTCGACGGTGCGACGTGCACGGAAAGATTTCAGCGGCCTGTCTTGGGAGAGGTCACAAAGGAGAGCTCCTTCTGAAAAGGGCAGCGGGAGGTTCGCGCAATCCGCCCCGCCGATCGGTGGAATGGAACGTCGCCAAGGAAACGCCCACTGAGAGTTTGGAATGCTTGACGTTCAGCAGCGTAGCAGAAGAGGCACGCCACACATGCCTCTGATCGGGAGAGCTCATCCCCATCCTTCGCTACCGGTACGAGCCAAAGAAGCGACTGTTGCTGCGAGGCTGCTTCCGACTGCCCCTGAGGCGTAGAATCCGGGCCGCCTGTTCGGGCGAAAACAATTACTGCGGCTGCCACTGCCCTGTAGGTCTGTGACTCGGGTTGCGACTTACAAGCCGACCAACATGGCTTCACTTTTGCAAGTCGCACGTTCACTCGATTGGCGGCGGGTCGTCTAGACAAGGTCTGCTCATACAGTCTGGGCATGCTTTCCCCATCAAGCTTGCACAACTCACTCGTGCTTGCGAGGCCGATTGAGCGGAAGAAGACGGCGTGAACCTGTTCTTTCCTTCGAGTCTTTTGGCGAGTCTTATGCACTTTTTTTCCAAAGCGCCTTCTCAATCTCGCGACTCACGACAAGCGCTTGCAATCGGACGGAGTTCGACAGCCTAGCTAGGGACTAAAATTATGCGCAGCCGGCAAGAGCCCAAGCACCAAGCTCAAGCCCTGTCCGAGATTCTACAACAGGCAAACCCAACTTCCCCCACCTTCCATGTTCAGTTGCCGAGGGGCACCACCGGTATTGAACCGCAGCCAGAGCCAGCAGCAAGGGTGCCAGGCCGGCACAGATCTTGACATATGGCCGAAACTTTCCAGTCTTCTCCTGGTGAAAGCTTATGCTCTATGATTCTGATTCGTAACAACTAAACACTACGTAACCTTGTAGGCCATGTTGGGGGTGTCTTGTCGACAAGGTTTGCCTCTTTGACGGGACGGTCGCCAAAGTAGAAGCCCAAAAGTTGGAAACCCAATAGCCTCAATCCTTAAGAGTAGTGTATAGGGAATCCCAGCACAATTTGTCCTTAATCCGGTTTCCAACTTTTTGAGGTTTACTGTAATTATGCATAACCTACCTATCCACCTACACTAGCCCGTATCGCCACTTGGAGCGTCTGGGAGCTTTTGGCAATGGCCCTCGCTCAGCTCCTCAGAGACTGCCCACCGCGGCTTCTTCGTTCTTGCGCAGGTCTGGTGGTCCTTCATCAGGAACGCCGCCCTGGCAAGACTTGCTTCCGAGATTTTTGTTTCAGAGCCCCGAAAAGTCTTACGGAATCTTACGGAAGACTGTCGTCATACACATCTCCACCTGAACTTCCTCTTCCGAAGGGCCACTTCCCATACGACGATCACATTCCCTGACTCCTGACTGTTTTGCACCCGCCAAACTGTTCTCCAAATCCGCCAGCAATCCGAGCACACATCACGAAGGCCGCAGCCCGGCATGAAAAACCCAGTTCTTGACTTCAAACTGGCGCCCCCACGTGATCAGCGTTGCAAGAAGGCTCAGCAGGGCCATGAAAAATGCCGCGCGGGAAGTGTAGCGCATGATGCCTCGGATCTCCAGTGGAGCCCGAAGCCCTTGTTGCGACGTGCTTGTTGGGTCTACACCTGGCCAGCCCTTTAAATCCTGAACCCCAAATTTAGTCCTGAACGTGCATGTCAGAAGAGCCATTGCAGCATTCTTCCGACCAGGAATGTTTCGTCGGCCGCTAGTCTATCGTTCAGGTGAAGACAACAGACTCATGTTCCAAGCCGCAAAAGCTCAGGCAACCTTGACACAACGCAGCTGCGGCATCTACAGCTCAGTTCTTCGAACATGTCACGCAAGTTCATCTGCTCTCACTTGAATCCCTTCTCGAGAAGCTGGAAGATGAGGCCAAGCAGCCCCATATCTTCCCATCCTCAGAAGCAAACCGATAAGTTTAGGGCTTTGCTCGGCTTGGGGTAGTTGCATCAAGAGGACAAGAACTGTGGCATACTATGAAAGCGACTGGTCCAGCAACGTAACAAAGTAAAACGGCCCACCAGCGCAACCAACACGGCAACAGCAGCAGAAGCAGCTCCCACAAACTCAGCATCTTAGACCTCTGGCGCCCATGCCACTCGAGCGGACAGAAGGAGCGGCTTCTGAGTTTGGTGTTCGTTGAGGATGCAGCGAACCTGACCTTGTTGCAACAACCCTGCAGCAAAGCCACGATGTACTTTCCCGAGTACGGGCTGTGCTCGCAGAAGGCCCCGAACAACTTGTACCTGGATTTCTCTTCAAAACGTCAGCTTTCGTTGCTTCGTTCCCCTCCCCCTGGGCATGCTCCCACGTCGTGTCCCAGCGATCGTTGCCCTCCCTCCCTATAGCTCCCCCAACCCATCTCTACCGGCTAACTCATGACACCGGGTATCGACACCAGCTCGGCACTGGACACTGTGGAGGCCCTTGTTCTCACAAAAATTCCTCGGCGCAGAAGGTTCAAAAAAAAAACATTCCAGCATGCCCCCGGAGCCTAACATGACTGAGAAGGGGACGTGCGATTGTGGTAGATGTGCTTGCGAGCACATGGCAACAGTGCCGGTTAATACATGTCCAGATCATCCCACAATCACCTGATGAGATGAACTGGGCAGTGTCCGAGGAGCAAGTTCCACAACGTCGGGAAGAGCTCGACTTTGCCATTGCAGAAATCGGTGGCCCATTGCTCCATCTCGGGCGAGGCATACCTGACAGGGATCCAGACGGCTCTTTCGGCTGGAGAAGGTGAGCATGCCGTGGCTACGCAAGTTCCATCCAAGAGGCTGCTTCTGCAACACCTTGTCGAGTGCCCTCTCCATGAGAGAACTAGGCCGAGCATATCCTTAGCCGAAGACCAGGGACGGCCAGGCTTCAAGCTTGGGCCATAGACATGTCAGGGCAGGGCAGGGGATCGTGGCGTCAGTGTTCTGCAATGCCCCAACGCTCTTCTATTGTAAATGAAACTGTCGAAACCTGCCAAGGATCGCAATGAGCAGACGACGAGGCTGCACCTGCAATTCGCACCCCAGGTCAGTAAGGCCACGCCTTGCCCCACTCCGGGAAGCTCTGCATGCCAGACTACTGTTAGACCTCTGGCCTCCACTCGAGCTGGCCACCAAGCCAGACGTTGTATTTGCGAAACCTCGGATCTTTGTTTGGCGAAGAATTTCGGACCTCCCATTCTGCTGATGCAGCTACTGTATGTTGAAGATTCCTTCGTGGCCTAGGGCTCTACGGATGAGAGTGCCGAGGCTCTGCATGCTGAAGAAGAACATGCCGAAGACTGTGCCAATCGCCTGGCGAAAGCTGGACTGGTATAGGGCACTAATCGTTGGGGGGTGGATGCCTGCCAGCAGCAGACCGTCACAGCCCAAGTTTTGTGCTGCGCTCGCTTCTTTGAAGAATACTTTACACTCCCTGCGTCCATCCTGCTAGAACTGTACATTGAACGGGCAGCTGGTCTGCGAAAGCGCTTCTGTACATTATGGCTTGAACGCATCTTGCGAGCGCACTGTCTCTGCTTTACATTATGAAACTTTGCCCCACTTCAGTGACAGAACCCTCCACGGTCGTGCACTGCACCACTTCGTCTTCCTTGCACTGATAAGCCTCCGGCACACGGAAGGCTTTGAAGTGGCCCCAGGAGCCCTCTTGGTAGAGCTGATCCCTGGAGGTGGGTTGGTGACCACATGGCCAGCCGTATGCATAGTGCATTAACATGGCTGAGGGCTGCATGATCTCCGCACTGACCGTGCCCCAACAAGGATTGCAGCTGTCATACTTCTCTGCACCGCAGCTGCCATGGTTGCAGATGCTATGACCCCAAAAAGGGATCACAGGGTTTGTGCTGCAGTCCTCCTCAATGTTGGAGTGATCGCACAGGATCGCGGCCATGACGTCCACATCAATGCTGCCTCGATACTTGGAGGCCAGCTGCCAGCCGCGGCGCCATCGCAGGCCGTTGTTGTTGCCCTTGTAGCTCAACTGAGCCTCGGGCAAATTGAACTCCACCAATTCCGGACACTGGTGGCAGTTCACCGCAACAACGATTCCAGGGTTGTCGCGCGAAAAGCGCTGAAGCACAGCGACACCAAACGGGCCTACCTCCACTTGTGCCAGGTTCTGCTGAGCATCCGCCAACAGCACAGAGAAAGAGGGCGTCACTGCTCCTGCAGCCAGTAGCAGAACAAGTGCTTGTTCCACGTCCTGGCAGGAGTTCATCATCTGCCGGCTGAGGTCTGCAAACGTCTGGGGCACCATAAGTTTGTCCATGCTGTCGACGTCACGCTCTACCGCCAGGGCAGCGGTGAAAGACAAGCCGGCAGAGTTGACACCCCTCGTCGGCTGCCCTGGCTCGACCTCGAAGGGCGGAGGACGATCCCCCGCGGCCTCGTTCGAGTCGACGTAACGAAGCTCCGTACCAATGTGGCCCATGCCCCCGGCCCGAGCTGCTCGAACAAAGGTTCTGAAGAGGTAGGGATCATCACTAACGCCACCGATGAGGGCTTCCCCGGTCACCGTTACATCAACCCCCGTTGCACCAAAGAGGAAGCACATGGCCAAGCAGAAGAAAACAACGACGAGCAGGCTACCAAAAGAAAAGCTTGGACCGTAAAGGCAACCACGGTTCCGCAGGACAACACAATGAGCCTGAGGACATAACCGAACCCGGTACATACATCAATGGCGAAAAGCCTGAACAACGAAATGTCGTCAAAAGCTGCTGCGGACCCTGGCCCCTTCCCCCTTCCGGCCGCCACGAAGAGACCAAACAGTGCGAGGCAAATCTGCAGGCAGCGATGGGTTGGATTTCAAGCACAAAACAGCTTGGGAGCTGCGATCTGCAAATGTTACGGGTTCCACACATGCGAACACAAATGTACGCATCGTCCATTCTGGCAGCAACCCAAGTTAGATGTCGGCACCGCTCTATCCCCTAATGTTCTGGACGCGAAATGCCAAAAGATGTCGGCGTTGAAAATCGACCTCGTGATGCTTCCTAATCAAGCTCTAGGGCCGAGCATGAGCACGCCTGAGGCGAGCAGCCGTCTCGGTTGCTCTGGCGATATGGGGCGGCCTCAACCAGTCAGGAACAGTATGACACTCTGACTGCCCATTCCCCAGACAGTCTCTGACGATGGACTCCGGACGGATGTCCTGGTTCGTTTCAGTGAAGCTCGCGCTTTTGCTTCGGTCTGCGGGTCAGGAAAAAAAGAAACCCTCAAGTCGACATTTGCATCCCGGACCGCAACTCTGGTCCAATGCAGTCGAGGCGTTGCTTGGCAACCGGTCATGTATAAGTTGGATCTCCAAGCTCAGATTGTCAACCACCTGACGTGTGCGTGACCGAGATGCCAATGAGCGGATCGTCCGCCGCCGGATGTGCGTGACTTCTTCGCCCGGCATCGCACACAGGCTCAAGGTGGCAGCTGTTCAATGCCACCGCATTCGCAACCAGTGTTCAAGGCTGTTAACAGCCCTAGTTGTCAAGGACAACAGACTCTTGGGTATCTGATCTGGAAAGCATTGCATATATGCCCAATGCCCATATTTCCTACGTGACAGCTGTGAACCTTCGAAGTCGTTCACGTGAACTTACCCGAAACAGACAAAGAAGGTCTTTCTTCATCAGCAAGATCTGACATCACAAGCAGCAGCAGCTTTTGCCATTTGCAATAACTGGGTTTGCCGACTTGTGAAGCTGCAGCAATTGGCTGCATGGTTCGGCAGGGACTAAGAACACAGACGGAGATTCCACACCCGGGGCTACTGGACTTCGGCTTTAGCAGCAAATTCGCCTCTCGTATCAATTCACCGAAAAACATATGGCAGGAGTTTCCTAGGCCCTAGGGCTAGCACTCGCGATCTGATCCGTGACTGCCCTTACACCTTCTATTCTATTCCGAACTACAGTTCGTGCTTCTCGTCCGAGGACGGCATGCCATCGGCAGGTACCCACCTGAGCATGCTGCAAAGCTCGGATGAAGCCTAACGACAACAACGAAAATACAGATAGATTTCATGGTCAGAAAGAAGGAACAATATTCACATCAATAATAATGGCAACGGTAACGACAGCTACCCTAATACTCGTTCTAACGGTCAAAAAATGTCTTGGTCCATCTCACAAGTTTCGAACATTGGTTGGTGATACAATTAAGGAACATCACCACAATCTCTTGTTCCGCGCCACATGATCTTTCCCAGCTGGAGCTCGGGGAAGTCGTAGCCCACGGAGATCAAATCCCGGATCCATGCCTGCGCCAGCCTGGCATCCCACATGGCAAGGACGAACCCACATAGCAGGGTGGTTAAGGCAACTCCAAGAATGCGGGCAAGGAGTATATCGTTGCACAAGTCGTGATCGTACGTGCGGTATCTCACGACGGAATTTATGAGCACTCACGGGCTCCAAAGCCAAGCACCCGTGTAGGCTCTCCAAAGGCCAAGTGCTCAATGCAGGCTCAAACCCCTTCACTTTGCATGTTGTTTCTGTCATTCTGGCATCTCACTCCAGAATGCAATGCACATCACACCAGGCAAACGGCAATTCCAGCAGACGCCAAATAGAAGTGTAAAAAACAGTGTCCCTTCATGTAGGATCGAATGGTTTGATTGCAGGCTCTCCTCGAAGGGTTTAGTAAACAAGGGCCCGCATCAACACCCAATCCAACTTACCCAGCTTCTGGCACCATCACCACTTCAACACGGAGCTCAAGCGTGAGCTCAGAAGCTTCAGGCTTAGAGCTTCGGGCTTGGAGCTCCAAGTGCAGTATTTAAGCCGGGCGAGGCATCCGAGCAGCGGAGGCCAAGCAACTAGACCCGAGGAATGGGGCTTAGGTTCTTTGTGTCAACACTGCTTTGAAGAGGCTTCTGAATACTCGAATGCAACTTATGATGCCTAGAGTCTAGAGCAGAAAAAGCCAGCGAGGTTGGCGAAGCTGAGCCTTTGACAGGGAGACAATATGCCTTTGCGGCATCTTGCAGCGCGGCTCGTGCAGCTTTCGGATTAGTACTTACTCCGAGGAGAACAAGCTCGCGCAGCCTTCCTGCAGTCCGCATGGCTGCATGATGCGGGTTGGAGCGAGCTGGGTCGATCAACGCCAGAACGCGTTTGCACCGCTCGCCATCAGGGGAGGGAGGCGTTGGGCCCGAGGTTTGGGTTTAAGCTCCCGGGTTTGCAGGACTCTTGCAGGACGCCCCTCAACAACATTGCAGCGAGGAGACCTGGCATTTCTAGATCCTGTGCACATCCCTGACGGTAGCATACCAGTCGTAAAAGTCCCTGAAAAAGATCGGCGGCTATTCTCTGCAACAGGTGCCTCACGTCTCCCAGCTCCACAAAGCCGCCTCGGCTCTGCTCAAGTTTTGTCTCGAAGGTATGATCACTTTTTGTCTATTTACTACCTGGACTCCAATTCCAAACGCCACAACCTAGAAAAGCCAACTATCTTTTCTTGGTGCAGCTCCTCTCTGAATCGAACCTTGCACCCTCACAGGCAGGAGCCCCCAAAACTTCGACCTTGCCTATGCGACAAAGCTCGAATCAGCGCGACAACCATCCTAATAACAACAGGACAAAAATTTGGATAGGGCGAGGAAGAAGAATATCAATTCTTAGATTCGGTCTTCATATGCTTATAGGACAGCTCTCCCCTTGATGCGTGATACGAAGAGCAAGCGCCGCGGCGGCTTTCCCTGCCTTCAATGTGTAGTCTCTTGGTTTCGTCTTGCATCATCGCTGGGGGCTCTACTCACTTTGCAGGGACTTCTATTGGTCTCGTCGTGGAGGTCCAAAGGCTCAAGCTGCAAGAACGGACGAGGTTTGATATCGGCCAAATCAAAGCTTAAGACCTAAGACCCTATCTTGAACGTCTGTTGCAAAGGAGAGTATTCTTTGTAGGATGTTCTTATGGTGGTGGGACATCAACAAAAGACTGTGGAACAATCAGCAATGAGGACACTAGAACCCTCCCGCGTGAACGCTCATACTTAGCAGACACGTAAGCGGATACGAAAGATCTCGACAGTGCGAGCGTGGCATTGAACACATCCTATGCTTGTCAGGAGACGCATGTAGAGCGCGGCCCAGAGCTGCTCAATTCGCTCCACGAGTGTGGGAGCATCGCCTGTGGTTTCTCAAGGGCATCCTATCTTTCTTATCTTTCCTCCCTTGGTGAAGTGACACACAAGCCCAGACTTTCGACGTGAAGAATATTGCCACGGAACTTTAAAGGTAAGAAGGACCTTCAAGATAGTTTGGCTTTCCTGGGAGAGACTCGGGCGGGGATCATGGGACTCGGCAGCCGGCAAAGCCAAGGTACAAACTCGTGGAGCTCAGTCTTAAGCGGAAGAGAAAGAACCTTTGAGGCTTAGCTCCAACCGTGGCCTAAGAGGGATTGCGAGGGACCTGCAGAGATCCGAAGGGGGACTCTTCCTTTCCGAAAGGGTACGGCTTCAGAGTGACTTCGAAACACGAAGGCAACCCGTAACCAGCAACCTTACGGAGGTTGATGGTAACCCACAGCATCCTTGTACTAAAATCCGGGCCGCAACCAAGGCGCTCGACCACCTCGCGAGGAAGGAAACAAGAGCTGTGCTCTTCAGCCTCGTCTTAGGGCTTGGTGATTTTAGGCTTGAGGGTCTGTATGACCTTTGAAAGGCTTTTTTGGGGAGTTGTAGCAGAGAGCTGTGTTTTCAAGGTTTCGGAAGGTTGGGGCCATCACGGACCAAATCGCGCCAAAACCGGAAGGTCTAGGCTTTCAGGTAGCCAAAGGCCGGGCCTGCAGCAACTGCAGCTTCCTGCGGGTTTAGGGATATGGGTCTAGGGTTCCCTTCCTGCAGACACCCTCCGCAACCCGCAGCACATGCACACTCATTGCTTTTTGATCTGACTTGTCTGTAGCACAACCCAAGTAATTTTCAGTTGAGGCCCTGTCTGAAGGTCACCCTCACTTTGGAAGTCCTGAGTTGGAGAATTCGGGTCTGCTACTTGTTGCTGCTGTTGCTAATGCTGCGACTGGAAGCCTAGCATCGATCTATCCAACAGACGTCTCTACTTCAAGGCCAACAGCAATAACAAGCTTTGACTTCATCCAAGGAGAGACATGGGCAAGGGTGCACAACAGAACCGATGTGCGGTACCGGGACCCCTTCCACAAATAGGTCCTCGCAGCCTTCAACTGTTACTCCAACTCCAGACTCCCTTGCGAAGCTTACAAGGTCCCTGTGTTTCGGCGCGTCCTTCAAGTAGTCGTGGGCGACTCGGTCATGTACAACATGAGACGGCATGAACGTCACAACCTGGCCGACCTCGCGTCAGAAGTCTGGGAACTCGCCCTGAGGCAACAATCACAATGCATACAGTGTCGAGGTCCGGGGTTTGACCTGCGTTAGGCAGGCAGCAGCATTTCCCATGAATCCAACTCGCATGTGTCGGTGCCCTGCATTGTTCATACCGGAGGTCGACATACCGAAGACTGTGCGAGAGTGCGCTGAAGCGGCTCAGATGCGAGCTTGGAGAGAAAGCGAGAGAAGGAGAAAAACTGAAACATCCAGGCATGCACACCTACAATACTTACCCTGGAACAACTGCATCAAGCAGACATGCANNCCCCCCCCCCCCCCCCCGAAATATTTTCTGCCACGGCACATCCCACAGCAACTTCTGGGTCAGGTAGGCACGCCAGATATCCGAAACGCGGCCGTGCACGGTCACGGGGAGCAGCAGACCCCAGAAAGCTTCCTCGGATCAGGTGCATGTCAAGCCACTTACAGCCTTAAGACTTCCCGCGGCGGCTTCTTCCAAACAGATCTGTCAAGCCGGCACCCAGCTTTGAGCAACTGCCACAAAACAACGAGACCGTGTCACCATCACCTGGTCGTGCGACCCAGGCCACGTAAAGATGGACGGTACACTGAGCATTGTATGGTGTGAAGAACCTGGGCGCAAACGCTCACATGCACCAAATCTCTTCCTCGAGGGCATTAGCATCATGGTACTCAGTCCTGAAGCCGGGCATGCAGCTGTGGAAACCCTCAGCGCTTGCCTTCTCTTGCGATGCAGCCCCTCTAACTCCAAGCACACTACCGCGTCAAACCTAGGAGCTGCGGTGGCACGGCGACGACTTGTGGCCGGCCCTCTCCTGCAGCAGACACCCGGCGCCGCGACTAAAGCCAGGCTGGCACCGGATTCCCCAGAACATCCCTACTTTGCCACACACCAAGCAAACATACTCCTGAGGGTTGAATCGCCTGTCCTGGCCCGGGCCCTTGGAAGGAGCAAGGCAGCGGACGCGTCAGCCGGAAGATGGCATCCACGTCCTGAATCTGGAAAGCTACGACACCTATGAAGGAGCACATATGTGAGGCGATGCTTGGCGGATAGCAAACATCCTTCGCCAGCACTTGCAACGGCTCGTGCACTTGGCTCAGGGGCTGGGTGGCCTGCGGGCCTGAAGGGCCTGGGGCATTGGGCGAGGCCTTTTGCCAACAGGTCTGCTCGGCCAGTCATAGGTCACGGAACACTCAGCTTCGCAGGTCGGAAAGGAGAGCCTGCCTTTGCAGGCTGATCCGACCTGCTTAGAGAGAATCCTGGGCACTGGGATTGTCGTTCTTTAGTGGTGCCGAAACGCCCAAAAAGAAATTTAAATAAAGCAGCTTCGATGGATTATTGGTGGCAATTCGAAACTTTGGACTGTGAAATCATCCGGCAAGTTTTCTTGGCATGCTCCACACCATGCCGTAGATGCTCTCCATGTCTCTCTCCATGCATGCATGCATACACGCATGCATGCATACATGCATACATGCACACATGCAACATACAGATATACTCGGCTAAAACGCGGTGATTTTTCTCCCACACCAGCGCGAAGAGTTTATCCGCGCGACGGGCAGTGTCTCTCCGCTCGTTGTGTCGTTGGATATATCTCTTGTACTCGTCTGTGTCCCCCTCGTTCAAAGGCCACCCCGTGACGTTGTTGATGTACTCCCCGGTGGTTCTGTCTTGGCGTATGCTCCTGCCAATCCACCTGTCCAAGGCACTGGGCTCATATAGTAGTACTCCCCCCTGTTCTGTTTCGAACCTGACATACTCAGCAAAAGGTAGGCTTCCCACTCTTCTCCCACCATCAGCTTGTGTGGCCTCGGCTTGTTTGGCCACCGCCTTCTGGGTTTCGTCCCCCTCCAAGTTCTTGCGTAGGTCACAAGGTCGGCTCGCGCTGGTCAGCTTCCCTGTGGCGACCTGGTGCTTGTAGCACCCTTCCCCCCCGGTGTGGGGTTTGTGGTGGAACGGGGCATCCAAGCACACTCGGCAAGTAATGCCTAAAGCTCGCAGTCTCTCAGCAAGGCGGCATTGGTCCCCCCAAGTAGTGCTGGTCTTTGCCGCCTTCGTCGTGGGATCTCTCGGTGGCTTTGGTCCACCTGCTGTCCCCCGCTTGTTCCGGGGCCTTGTCTCTCTGTCTCTCTGTCTCTCGTTTCTCTGGAGCTGTGGCAAGCACCTCTGAGATGGCCATCCCGTGGCTCCGACTCAAGAGCTGTCTCGGGCCCAAGCCGGATCTTCGTCGGCAAGGAACTGCTGGATGGCGGGAGGCCGGCTCAACTGCCTTCGAAAAGGCGAAAGGGAAACCATGACTCGTCATGCTCGAAAATAGCACTGGGGCGCACAAAGGGGTCATCCTCAAGGACTGCATACCATGGAAGACTTGACTAGGAGTATATTTAGCAATAGCAAAAGGACTGGGAAACATGATTTCGGCAGCCTTCCAGTTCCGAATTCGGCTGGCGCTACCGAACATCCAACCAACAAGCGACTCTCATCCAATAAACATGCTCGAAAAAGCGTTCCTCTGCCACCAGGTGGTCAGCAACTATCTAGCAGCTGCCCTATGCGCCTCCTCCAACTCTGAAAACGAAGACCTGCTTACAAGTTCCCGAGGCACGCATGCAGCAGCGAGCGGTTGAAGGTCTGCGGAGATTGAACGAAGTCCAACGGAAAGCCCCGGGGCCAAATGTGACCACAGGTGGGCCTCCAGAGGGGATTCTTGAAGCTTGGAAATGCTTGGAACTCGACGTAACGATGCAGTTTGCCTGCGAACTTTGCCTGCGAATCTGTGATTTTCTCAGGGCCTTGGAGACCAAAGACTGCGCTCATGTGGGCACTTCAGAATCGGAGTGGAAAGGTTAGTAGCTAGTTCTGTTTTTGAGAGAAGCATGCAAGAAACTGCCGGCTCGACCCAAAAACATAGATTTCGGAAAGTGCGCGAACGTCGTACATCCGAACCACGAAGCTCGGAAACCATGTGTCACAGACCCGGCCTGAAGCTGGGATACGGGTTGAGCAAGCCTGGCTGCGCAGTCCTCAGCGAAGGAGAAAGCTTACAGGCAATGCATGCGGGTGGTACTGAGTCTTCGCACACAAGGTGGATGTGTAAGACTGAAGAAACATTTTGGAATGAATTCCCAAAAACGTCACATCCAAAAAAATCACCACATCCAACATCTTGCGCAAGAAACCCATGAAACAACACGCGCGCGCGCACACGCACACACACACACACACACACATTTTCCACGTTCGTGGATTGCCAAATATTGCCAACTTTAGCTTAAATAGTCCTCCGATACCATCAACCGGCGCCAACCGGCTACCAACTGAGCCGAAGTGACCCGTAGTTAGCCCGATCTGGAGTAGGCCTCACCTCAAACGAAGTTGCACTCTTGGCTTAGCCCCACGCCATTACACTTCCAACCGACAAGTCATTGCCTCTTCAGTGGGAAATCAACCTTGTTTGGCAAACTGCCCGCTTACAAAACATCAGAGTGCACCAACCAAAACCAATCGTTATTGCGCACAGACACAGGCAAACAAATGTTCGTGCTCAGCTAAAGCGAGATGAAAATCTTCAGGATGAATGTTTGTGAGATTGTGGCTCAAGCCATTTTGGCTCAAGTAGCCATTTTGGCTCAAGGTATTTTGTGTAGTAGGAACGTCAGTAGCGCCGAC